ATCATACTGGTTAATTCTGTTTATTAACAAGCGATTTGGTTAATACTCCTTTAACACGACGTATAAATGTTTTTTTATAAACCAATACACACATGAAACTAGAAGTGGTATACATTCCAACTTACTTCTTTAGAGTTCGTCGTTGTCAGTAACAGATGTCAACATCTTAAGAATATGGTTTTGTTTCTAACAAATATCCAAACTATCAATAAGCGGCGAGTCACTGGCGGTCACGACGCTAGCGTAGCGTAGCGCGGGAAGCATGCAACCCGCCCGCCGCCGCGCGCCGCCGCGGCCGCACTATTTCGGTGGGAAACCATCGACACGAGGACCAACTCTCTTTATGTTTAACCCTTCAACCTCTTTGGGCGCTGAATAATTTTATTGTGTTACTTGTTGTTTGCCGCTTATTTTCTACGGACTTGGTAATCTGTCGAGGATTTGTGCTATACAAGTTTAACTTTGTAATGTGGTCCCGTAACTATATTCTCGACGCCGATTTTGGGGCTGGAAACGCCTACTTATATAGATGCCATTATGTTTGTCATTTGTATTTGCTAGAAGAGGAACAATTGCTACTATTGCCCTATTTATGGTAAATGAATACAATTTAAATACTACAAATCATACAGAATGTTACATTGGCCCAATTTGAAAATTAAATAAAATAAATAAAATAAAATAAAATAAAAATAGCCTTTATTCAACCACAAAAACATGCTCACAACATTACAATTGTATTCTAATCAGTATTTATTTCATTTGTTTAATTTCATATATTTATCTATATATATAATTTTCATTTAATTATTTATTAATTTTAAATATTATCACTAAAATAGGCAACTAATCTTTTGTGGATGTCGCCTCTTTGGCGTAGGCCTCCCCCAGCTTCCTCCACTCGTCTCTATCTCGTGCTTTCCTTCTCCAGTCTGGACCTCCTCTCTCTCTGAATATATCTTCCCATCGCTTTCTCGGTCTACCTCTTCCTCTTTGTGTTCCCCTTGGTGTCCGTTCTGTTCAATTTGAAAATTAGGTTTATTATATTTTTTTAATACTCAATAGTGTACACTTTATTGTGTACACTATGCTTGCAAGTTGCAACTGTAAACATTGCGTCGCGCGTGTGGCAGCGGTCCCCGGCCGCCGCCGGCTCTATCATATCTTTATTGTTCTTATCACAACTGTTTACAAACTATTCCACCATTTTTAAATTATGAACTGCGTAGATAGCACTCCCCTTACAAATTGTCGCCATAAATATTAAGTTGTCATGGTTTTCAACTTTACCTTGTTTAACAAGAACCCCTAACAATGTTTGGCAAATATCTAAAATCGGTCATATCGCATGTATCCAAGTGTTGTTCGTGACTTCAGTGAACGTTGCATTATTGAGTTTAGTGCAGTACCAGTCGAAAGTATAATCACCAATTACGAGACACAAACGTGACAGCCATTCGGATATATCGCAGTGTCCGCGAGCGGGAACAGAGACCGACAATGATCCCAATACTTGACAATTACAATTTTCAGAGCGACGCAGCGAAGTTTGGTCGTGAGCCCACAAATTGGAGCAACTTCCAGCCCGAAGTGATTACATTAGAACATCACGCGTCACCTCGACTCCAGTTTGAAGGGTCCAAACTATTTGTCCCAATCGAAACCCATTTGGAATTCAGATGGAATCGAAACGTCTAATTGCTTTCGGTTCAGCTCTTCGCATACTAATCTGTGACTGTGGTTACGCTCCCATATAGTACGTGTGCCACCGCGCCGACGACGGTTACATTTACTCGCTCGTTTATACGCGACGACTCACTTTGCCTAGATACCAACTTCTCCGTCTACTGTTCCAACCTCGGTGAACTAAACCATTTTCATAAGCATCATACTCAGAGAGTAGTTGTATTCAAACATGTAAAAACCAGATTTAACGAAATATACATAGATAGTATACCATGAACTTTCGGTAACAATCTTGTTTCAAATAAATATAAAGGAGAGTTTTAATCAGTGTCGCAGAACAAGCAAGTAATAACAGTAAATATCCGCAGCCGCAGTGCGGGCTGCAATTTTTTCCAAGTTCAATATTTATGATCGCGAAACATCGGCACTCGGCACTCGGTATTGGTGTCGCCAACTCGCAAGTGGGTGACCGCTCGACGTTCCCCGACAATTCATAAAGCGGAGGAACTGGTTCAGTTCACACCCTCACCCCCACTTCTTCTATTCTCCCCTCCGCAACTTTTCCCAATTCCACCACAAACTGTAAATAAAGCAAACGATCCGATAACGTGGCCGCTCCAATTTGGTGCGCGGACGAAGGGATATTTCACTTTCGTTTCGACGGTACCAAGCTATTTACATTTCGCGCCGCTGGTAATATTTACGCCTTCATTCCACTCAAATTGAAATGGATTAAACAAGGTCGCGCCTATTCAGATTGCTTCAGGGATATTTTATGTTGCTACTAGCAGTAGTAGGTACTTAGGAGTCAGGCCTCCCATTACACGTCCTTTACTTAAACCTTTACTTAAAACCCTGACAACAGTAACCGCAGCCGCAGCAGGCAGCTGAGAATGAAGTTTTTATAGTAAAACACTAAACAATTTCTCATAAGATGTCAAAATATTGGCAAATTTATTATGACTAAGGAACTCGACTCTCTATTAATATTATTGTGGAAGAGTTATAAACTGAGCTACGCCAACAAAGCCGAACACGAACATAATTTTAATATTTCTCCGAAGATTTCCCTTGACACTCGTCGACCTTCCTTAACGATTAGACAAACTTGAAGTTAAACAAAAATGTTCCTCAGCTGCGATGGAGCCACGATGCTGCTCAATTATTCAAAACAGTACGAGATTAAATTAAAAAAATATAAACTGTCAGCGCTGGAGGGTGTCTTCAACTCACCATTTGACGAAGTACAAAAGTTTAAATTAAATTTATAGTGGCGGGCGAGCTGTGATAGATGTACCAGCCACGGCACGGCTCCGGGCGCACGGCGCGCAGTCCGGCGCGCGGAGCGGCCGTGGCGCGACCGTGGCGCGACGCTACAACGCGCTGCTAAATAACGACAATCTAGTTTTAATTACAGCTATTTGTCTCCGCTCCGATGTTGCAGATTGCGTCGCCGATGGACCAATTTTGTATTCTCCTAACGTATTTATCACAACACTTACGTTCTTACGTGTAAGACAATACGATTCATGTTCAAAAAGCTCGAAACAATATGGTAGTTGAGAAAACGATCACGTCGCCTGCACCTCTGCGGCCAATGATTAAATGTTCTCAGACAAGCAGAGTATGCATTTAAAGCACTCAAAAGACGTATCAAAAGTAATGTCCTCATTAAACTCCGGAACGCTCTTTTCAATCCTGTAAATATTGTATTATTATTAAAATTTTATGAACTCCAATTATAGAGTCACAATTTGAAACTGAACCGTAGGTAATAGCAGTCGTAAATAAAGTTAATAAAATGTTTAAAATGTCCATTTAGATGTGTACAGCAGTGATAAGAGCGGGCATTAGAAGCGCAGTGCCATATTAGATCGGAATGCGCGTGATGAGTCGTTATCTGGATATCTTTTAATTTTATTATGAGTGCTTTATTACAAAGGCTCGTAATGCATGTCATGGCTCAAGTGGCGGACCGTTTTTTGTGGCAGTCGGCGCTTGCGGCCGGCACTCCATATTTAATGACTCTATTAAAGAGATTAATAGCGTCTATCGCTTAAAAAACATCCGTTGTTTTTTTCATTCTTTACAAATTTAATTAATGTCGATATGGATCTCTTGGCTTTGGGATCCGAAGCATTATTGGCCCGACTTGTACTTTTTGTTTCGTTGTATCCTGATTTATTTCCTTAATTGCCTTAACAACATGTTGGATATGAACCTGTCTGTCGCACGCGTATACACGAATTTTGTTAAAAGATAATTGTGTTAAATATTCAATGGTACTTAGGTCTGCGTGAGCCGAACTTCAGTGCGGCCCTAAGTTGCGTCGCAAATATTTAGATCGCGAAGTGGAGTGGGGCGACCGAGGGACTCACTCATCTCCGATCATTAACAACGCTCAACGTTTTATATCAAAATGACATTAGCAAACAGAACCGCGTTCGCAAATTGAAAGCTCTCTTGCATCAATTTACATTTGTTTAGATTGAATGACGCCGTATTATACTTTGTCCCCGAGCTCCATACAGACGGACGATGTAAATTCGTCGTTAGCTGTAGCTTGGATGCGCATTAAAAGATGAGACAGCGTAAGTTGAAGTTAAACCGGTGTTCCGATTCAGTGTCTGAGTCCGGGTGTCGGGGGTGAGCGACTAACTGGATTGCCAACCCCTCCCTCCTTCCGCGCGAGCTAGCGCCCAATTTGGCGGCTTGCTGGGGCCTGCACGTTTTTGCACGCATCCCCTTAATATGGACCTTCCGACAAACTCGCAACTGCCGGCTATAAAACATGGCCCGGCACGCTGTGTAACTTGATTGCGATGAAAAAAACTTCACCAATAAAAGCACCAGTTCGATTCTCGAAATCGTTCCCAAAGCAATGAAAAGGTTAATGATCTACAACTTTCTGTTCAGTTGTCCTTTCAGTACCGTTAATTAAATTTGTATGCAACGTGGAAATTTATACGTTTTTATGGTTAATGTGCCTACCTGATCTGCTTCGTTCTACACAACAACGTAAAGTTTGAATTTTATTACATATAAAAATACAAAACAATTGCTTATTTGACGTTATGACAACTTATAAGTTAATTAGAATAAATACACGGCCCAAATTATTCCTGAAATAGGAACCATTAACTTTTCAAAATACTTCCACGAATAGAAAGATAAAGAAAAGCTAGTGAAGAATCGTCGAGTGTTGGTTACTTGGTTTGGTCGGCGCACGCCTGCTTGTCTGCGGAACCGCGGCGACTTGGTCCGCTGAGCGTTGCGAGCGGAGCGACCAGTCAGTGCTCAGTGGCGTACCGCCTGCCGAGCTAACGGTACGTCTGTACGCAGTCCGCGCGCGAATACAACGAATTCAAACACGATACGCTCGTCTACAAATACGACTGCACACAACAATCGTCAATCGTAAAGTTTTTCTTTCCTCTCGTTATTTGTCGGTCCTGGTGCGGTTTTCTATATCTGTGTTTTATCGCGAAGATCATAAATAAATATTAGATTTCGCTAAAGACAGGTAAAGGTTGTTACCGTGAAAAGCTTCGAGCTAGACGTTTCTGTTGTTAGTACAATGTATCGCTCTAACGTAGATTGAGTGCAATAATATGGTCTATGACACGAAGACTATGCCGTCGATATTTCACTCAAGGAATAAATGCTGTTCATGAGATATAAAACCAAACAAAATGATTTTGAAAATCGGAGGGAAATCACCTCCGGTCGCGAAGACCGCCTCGGAGAAAGAGGCAAAGAAAGAGGAGAAGAAAGAAACGAAGAAGAAATGGGAGAAGTGTGAGGAGAGATGTCCAGGAGACCCGTGGGCTTACTGTGTGGTGTTATGGTGTGCGTGTGCCATGAGCCTGATCTCGAGCGGCTACAGCCTGTACAAGCAGCAGGCGCTGACGGAGCGGCTGTCGCTGCTGGAGGAGCAGCATCTGGCGCTGCGCAGCGCCGTGCTGGAGCCGCAGCAGCCGCTGGTGGAGCGTCTGCGGCGGGACGTGCTGCCGCGCCCGCCCCTCTACTGGCGGCCCCGCAGGAGCATCCGCGACTATGGGGACTGTGGCTGTCCACCAGGTGAGCAATCGCACTAGGCTGCAGCAGCCCTGATTACTACACCAACATGCGAGACAGTGAGGATGAGAGAGTATTTTCGCTTACCTTTTAGTTACCTATATAAAGGAATACTTACTATAAATCCAATAACCGAATCAAACATAACTTCGTACTAGCCGGCTTGAAATTATGATAAGAGGCCTAACCAGGTACCTTGTTATTTTCGAAATGAAATGTAAAACCTAGCTTAACATTATTTACCTTTACACGCATGGGCAGACTTTACACACAGGAAACTGGCGTGAAACAACGTTTGCATTGTTTCATACATTTAAGAGGAGTGTCAGCAGAAATTATTTGAAAAAAAATTGAATGAAACACATTGTTAATATTTAAAATAACGGTCCGGAAAAGATTTTTTGAAAGAAAAAGTCGTTTTATCAGGATTTCGCATTATATTAATCCACATTCATAGATGTTTTTACACTTTATACGAAAAATCCAATTACTTGATTAATAATTTCTCGGTACATTTTTAATTTTATCTCACGTTATTTTAAGTATGGAATCCTGAGGAGAGTCGAAATTTTATTTTTTTGTCTCAAAGCATGTATTTTATATACTTATTTGAAAATATTTTTTCTTTCTATATGTTATATTTTGACAACTTTCAGTGTAGTAGAGGTTCATCTTAACATCTATTTTATGAAAGTTTAGAAAACTTCATATCTACATTCTATGTTGTAATAAATCTCAAAATAAAACAGAAGTGTAATGTATATTGCATAGTATATTGTAAACAGTGAGTAATCAAAACTATACCTACTAGTAATGAGCATGTACCTACTTTTTTTAATGTAGACACAAATGTTACGTTGTGTACCTTAGTATTGATAGCTATTTACTTTTAGTCCAATAGTTGCGAGAATACAATCATTGATTCACTTTTTAATCTTAATTCACTCGACTTGTACTTAAAATATAATTGATGACTTAATTGAACAACCAGTCGCGTTGTAGCTCCGTAAGGACGGGTGTACATTGCTAGGTAACTCCATACCTTATAATACATTCAGCGCGTTTATTTCTCCGGGACTTAATTCTAAGTAAACTGTAATTTAGTTGAACGAGCAATCATTTTTAACACCGACTGCCAATTACGGTGTTTAGTTTTAAATTGTAGGGTCGAAAGGATCCCTTAACAGTAACTAACACTCGACGCGACCGGCGAGGGGTTGGAGCCAATCTTTTCGGAGCTATTAAATTTTTTCCCCGCGTGCCGCAATACGAAGTTAATCCCGAGTTGAAAGCTGTCACTAACCCCATAGTTATCAGCGGTGCCGCTCGAGATGGAAAAAATGATAAACGGATGGCGCGAATACGTGTCGGTCGCGTCGGTCGGGTGACGGCTCCGGCGCTCCGGCAGCCGCTCCGGCCCCGGATCATAAAGGAGTTGAGCTTTTATTACGAGTTGTTGTTTGGCCCGATATTGCTGTTGAATTTGAATTATGTCGTTAGTATTCTGTTCGCGGTCCGCCAGTTTATTTTGATGATTACGAATCTTTTGTTTTTGTTGTTTTTATATCTTAACATTTATAATAGGGAAAGTTGATATTGCAAACGTTTGTTACTGTACAACATCAGACGGTTTTGGTCGTACAATAAAGTTTAATTGAGCGTGTCGACAATATTTGAGCTTACGTGTCGTACAGTCCAACCCATAATTTGGGTGAGTTAGCAGCGTAATGTGGGAACCAATGGCCCAATCAATAAAACATAGTCGGGCTCGAGGCTGGGGCCGGCCGCGGCGGACTAGAGCGATAAAAGTGTCGCGTGTCGGTGACAGCGCGCTGTTTATTTGGATTATTGGGTGCCGTCGCGCGTCGCTCGAGTGGACGCCCGCACCCGCGCCACTATTCACGGCTATGGACGCGCGGTCCACTCATTGTGCTGATCCCTTTACTACTCCAATTGAAAATACGTAATTGATTCGTTTAAGCTTATTCCAATGTGTGCACTAGACGATGAATTGATATTTGCTAAACGTTGTTAATTATACATATGCCTCTATACAACACAACGTATACGACTGTGGGAAAAACATTAAAATTAAACCAACCGATACTATGGGTTACAATACAAAGTAAATGACGTGCTAAAAAGCCAGTCGATCACTAAATTGATTGACTGTGTGATTGTTGTAACCGTCGGCGTCGCCTAGTAATGCGAAAAACAAACAGAGTTATATATCCCATTCGATCATGGGATATAACTTCTATTAAACCTATTGAAGCTGTCGAAGCTTTGTCTTATATTTATTATAATATTACTAAAGGCTGTATTTTATATTAATAATATAATAAATATTGTAGTCAGCAGGCCATCGCTTAAAATCTGAATACTTAATGTAGATGCGATTATTGATATTGTTCAATGGAGAGTCTCGCGTGGGTGGCACAGGACGATTGTATCGATGCAGCATTCACGTGAGCTGAGCTGTGGCGTGACACAGTTCCAACACTTCCAAGGAAACTTACAGCGCAATGAACGTGTCCAACAAATTACTATTACGTAAATCATCGTCTATCAACAATATCCCATTAGGCTGGAGTTATACGCAATGAATATTCCCTCGGCAATCGATAGCTACTTCATACCTAATTCCTAAATATACTGAAGTCTTAGAATCCCACGCCGACATCGTTGTGAGTTTCGGTGCCAGGGATTTACAACGTGTTTATCTACATAAATATAAGGAGCTGAGTCAATAGTTGTGAAGGCTCGGCTCACTATAATTCAGATGAATTACTTCTATGGTGTACTAATCTATACTATAATGCCTATTCAAAAACGGCTTGTAGTGTTCACAACACAATTTTTCATCGTTGTCTTAATTTATTGCAATCCTGTAATTACCCTATGCAGCCACTTAATTAAGCAACTCGTGGACAGATGCTCGCCTTCTAACTCTTATTCACACAATACAAGGGGTATTGTAACAATGTCAGATTTCAGTGTCAGTATTTTGTGGACACTGGGTGTGAGACAGCAAATTGTAATTCCCATGTTCCGTGAACGACCGTTCACTCGCTCTACACTACCACCAGTTAGCGCAAGTAACTGGCGCGAATGTAATTATCCAGTTTTTTGTTCCGTGGATTAGCAAAACTAATCCGTACACTCTGAGCTCCATTGTTAGGTCCCAGCAGCGAGTACCGCTGGAATCAGCGAATGGAGTACACGCACACACATTGCTTTTAATCGACATGTAAATACGTCACTATAACCATGTAGCCATTGTCACCCGCTCTGAATATTATATCCTAAAATGTCTTCTCAAGTAGCCTGTTTATCAAGTACACACAGCTAGACACAAGACAAATTATTATTTGTTTATCTTAACCGGTTGAAATACTGGTACTTGAGTAAGTGCTTTAAATTGCTTAATAACTCGTCCAAACGAGACGGGATTAGACAAGTAGATAACATATAAATTGGTGATTATGATGTCCTCCAGCTGATTGTACTGCGACGTACAGCATATAGGGGAACAATGAGAAATAAAGTGCAGACAGTGGCGCGGCACGCTAAGTATAGCGAGCTATTAATGTAAACATATTAACACATCGAGTGTCCGCGGCGCCGACAGAAATAGTTAATACAATGACCGTACATTACACGCAGTGCGCCGGACATTGTGCTAGAGCTGCTCGTTACAAAGAAACAGCAAATCCCGTGCAGTCAGTAGAACCAGTCGGTGGTCTCCGGGGCACTTGTACAGCTTACTGCCGCGAACACGGTAAATTACCGACCAGCCAACAAATTAGCAGTAATCTTATTAGATAATTGAAATTAACGATAATCGCGCGATTACCTCGCTATCGTTCCCTAATCGCGGTGTAACTGGTTGTTACAGCCGCTCCGAGCGCTATCGCACTGCCTTTACATACGTTCTGCATTCATGCATGCTAACCAGGTGCACTGGCGAGATGTTCAGATACTGCCGCTTCTGTACAATACATTGAAATCTAACTTGAGTTAATTGTACCTTTCTATTTATTTATATTTATTGCGCTCTTGAAGCAATACTCTTAGCCCGAACAACAACTCATAATGGGTGGTGTAAAAGCAGCTTTAAATACAAATTCTAAATTTAGTGTTACTTAAAACGTTTATGCTAGTATGAAAAATCACAATTGAGAGATAAATTGTAAGATTCGTTCTCATAATCATGGCTGAAGGATGTAGGAGGCGACACACGTACCCCACGTAGCTGCCGCAGCGCGTAGCGCCGGCTTTCACTCTCCGGTTGAACTCATTGCGATTGATAGCGGCGAGCTCATTGATCACCGGCTACCGGCGACGGCGACTGTTTCGATTACCTGCCGTACCGGGGAATTGAACTGAACCTTATTTTGTCCGAACAAAACTTCATATTTTTTTCTGTCAAAAGGATATAAATCGCCGTTCATTCAGTTCCACGTTATTTCGGGGAGTGAGAGGTGTGAAAATGTCAGAGGTCACTTTATAAACGACTGCCGCGCTGTAGAAACGAGTAACTATATCATTTCGTAGCTTTTATTTGCAGGCCATACAAAACTAGCCGTTGATACTCGCCGATCGTTTAACCACGGCGCCCACGTAACTCGTGCTCGTGCCTAAACCGGAATTTGTAAAAGCCGTTGCGGTCATGATTAAGTTAGAACATGGCGTCTCGTCGGGACTACACTTTTTTAGATTAATCCACTATGTAGATAGACCCCGGCTTAGTCACGTGTGGGCAGTGATTGTGGGCAGCGTAAAGTTGGCATGCTGTAGGCATACAGAGAACGGCCTGCGGACGACAGACTCGGGGCGTCTTGTCGTCCGACCAGCAGCAGGCCTCGAGGCGGCGGCGCCGTGTTCCGCGCGCGCCTCATAATGGAGTCCTGCGGTCGGGGTGACGGCCGCAGTGGGTGACGGGGCCCGCCGAACCATCTGGCGAGCCAATACCCGTCGGGGGGATGCGACGAATGCTTCGGCGATACCCGCCCCTCCGACACATGGGTAAGTGGAGGAACACCGGGTTGGTTTTTAGTCAGTATGAGTCTGACAGTACCCTTCGCCCTTCCCCGAGGGTGGTGGGTCTCCATGAGGATTTTCCAACCCGACACCAAAAAAAAAAAAAAAAAAAAAAAAAAGGCATACAGAGAACCTATCGATATACAATATTTAGTTGGCGGTACAGTGAAATATATTATTACACCTGCAGACAGATAAAAGTGTCACACGGTGTGTACAAAGCCACGTGTAAGTACAGCGAATTTATATTAGTGCGTGTACGTGCGCCCCCCCCCCCCCCCCCCCGCGGCACAAACGCATCTAATTGAATATTTACCGAGCAACGCGGGACGCGGGTACGTTACACGCGAACGACATCAAGGAAATTACGACTACCCTCACGTCGGCGCCGCATGCGTCCGCCTAATCAAAATCATTTCCACTTGATTTGGTTTGTCAATATTTGAGATTGCAGTTGATTTTAATTGTAACAATTTTATGATACAATTGCTTTTGAGTGTCCACGTTGCAGCCTTGACTCAGCAGAAGCAATCGAGCGCAAAAGGCGAAAAATTAACACGATATTAATGTATGTTCACAATTAAAATTTTGTTAAATATACAGATACAATGGACGCAACGTATATAGACAGTGGTATTCAAACCGTGATTTATCTCCAGCATGTTCAGACGTACGATATAGTTCTCTGAAACAAGTCACAAGACATGCGGCAGCTGTCCGCAGCCTCCCAGTAAACTAATGTTACGCCAGTGCTCGAGTGATCAGTTTGTCCGTCTCTGTTATTGTAGAAAGTGTCCATCCTAGTGCTGTCTCACGTATCTATAATAATATTAACTGTTGACAACTGAACATTCGTCACCGCAAAGAGAATTCAAATTATTTCTATTTTAAGCCGTGGGTAGCAACTCCAGCTGTGTGCGGCTAGACGTTGTGAACGTTTGCTAATCATTGCACTGTTAGTACATGTGTGATCTACCTGCTATCCTAGTATTCAAGATGTCTAAAGAATGTGATTTTTGTAATTCCTCGCATTATCCGTGCTTCTAGAATTTTATTCCTCTCAATAATTGCTATCTGCATATACCTATCATAGTTTGTCTGTTAGTAAGCTCTGTAGTTGGGCACTTAATGAGTTTGGGAATATCTCGCGTCGTCTGTGAGAAGCTGTACACGTAGTGATTCGTGGTACTTGTTCATTATATGCGGAAGTTGTGCTCGAAGGTGCGCGGAGATACTGAGCCGAATGGAATCGAACCGCGAATCCCGCCGGAGTCTGAGTTATGCGCTCCGAATGTTCCATGGAACAAACCACAGGATTCAGCGATCGTTAAAATTTAAATATCTACTTAGTATAAACTTATAATAGAAATAGTTAATTAAACCTACGTAAACAATTTAATATGATCCGTATTCTAGATAATAATGGTGGAATCTATTTTGTAACAATATGTCAGAAAGCCGCTCAGCTTTTGTGACTAGGGTCGCAGCAACAGCGTGGAGTCTCCGAGCGTCGGTAATGGTGGCGCGATGGCGCGGTGTTGGCCTAATTGATTCGTCGCCGGCATCGCACGCCTCCACCGAGACACCTCACACCGAGCATCGCTCCTTACACTACTGCCTTATGTACCTACACTTAACACCAATATCACGAGAAGCAAGAGGTACAATCTACTCAACTAACCACTTAATCTTTTCCCCTGGCCATTTCCCAAACGCTCAACCACCATAATATCACCTTATCTTTAGCTTCAGCAGCCTTCAGCTATTGCTAGCCACGCTACAGCGGATGTTGCCACTGTATCTCCTAACTGGAGTCACTGGAGGGTCTCTCGCCTTATTCTTGTCCAGGTACTGGTCCGCGTTCCATCGCTAAAAGACAAAGTGTTGACATAAAATTGAATAACTAAGATGTAGTGTCAGGTGCTAGAGCGAGTCCCCGGTACTAAAAGTGGCTCGAAGGTAATTGATTAGTGCGCGAAGCATTACCTTCCGCCGCACCGCGCGCCGTAATGGAGTGCGCGCTGTTATCTCCCGCGCGCTAATTACACGCTGATAATTCTGTGATATTCAATTAGACGAGAGAAAGTTTCGAGTCTATAGCTTACAAGTAAATTGATTCTATAAGCTAAACTAAGTTTATAGTTAGTCGGAGCTCACACATTCAACACGTTCTGTGAGCTACGTAAACCTGTGAGGGACTGATTATACTGAGTATGTATGCATAGCTATGGAGCTACCAACTACGTACTAAAGCAAAACCTGATTTAATAGAATTATGGATTGTTATTGTTAATCAATTGAGCGGAGCTTTGGGCCGACAACGCAGTTACTTATTCGGCTACGGTTGTTCGTATTTCATACTAATGTTGTCGTACCTGCGTTAGTAATAGATACTGTACTGCGATTGTTCTAAACAATATTTTAAACGAATTATGTCGTATAGTTCCTAGATAACTGCGGAGCTTGTTAAAACTAATCAAGTTCTGAGCGAAGCAAGTTTAATGGAGCTCGTAGTAAAATACATTTCACCGCTGTTTGGTGAGTGATGCACGATCTATAGCCGCGCCACTATACGGCATTGATTACTTTATTACTGCGAGAGACGCGGGGAAAGTTTACATCAGACGAGTTAGTTTACAAGTTATGGAAGCAGTGTGCCGAGACTCCCATACGAAGACGCTCCCTACACGTAGAAGAAGGTAGCTCTACCTACAATATACGTAGCTAAGTAAAATAATAAACTGCGTGTCTGACAGAGAGGTATAAAGTTGTTCAACTCGAAGCCTGTTCCAGTCGCACCGTGCTAGGAAAGTATGCACCGCAAGCACATAGTATTAATAACTTTAGTCAATGTGGGGAAAGCGGTTGTAATGCCGATGTTGGGGCGCGCACTAACTAATTGATTCGTCCGCGTGCGTACGCGCCTGCTTTACTAAGCATTACTGCTGCACGTCGGAGCCAAGCTAACGAACTCGACGGTAACTCTGTGAAACATTTCACAAAACAGATTTTTACTGAATATCGAAAACGAACACATTTCCTAAACATTTTCTTTAAATTTAATAATATTTTCCACACGATCTTGCCTCCATTGAATTTGCTGTCGCGTCGCACGTCGCCTCCTACCTTTTCAAAATGAACTTTTAATATTCTACGTTCGCTGAAGTTGTAATTGGATCTTTTAAAAATATGTTTTCCTCTTGTTTCTTGCTATGGAACCTAAAGGACGCTTACTCACGATTTAGAAAATTAAACATTGATCTTGAGTAAACAGGTTACCTGCCTACTAATTTAGGTAAACACTCGAAACAAAAAGGGCAATGCTGCTCATAAGCAGTGTTGACTCAATCAATTGCTGAGCGCCGAGCATCGAGCGTGGCTCAAGTTTCCTAGCTCGGTAATTGAGAGGTGGACCAAAGTGAGAGCAAAAGCAGTAAGACAACTGCACCTTACGTTATAACATCATTTGCTGGAAATGTCGACCGTGGTGCGTATAGTGCGATACTTTTTGTATCTTATTATCATGAAGCATACATTTCTTCAGCGTTAAGAAACTTACTTCTAACACATATCAGACAGTGAGATCCGATCAACACCTGACTTCTATTGTGACGAGAGCTTGATGAATGAAATCTCCAGTTGAACCGTGTTGTTGAAACGTCACCTGTTCATTAGCATTACCGTAGCGTATGTGCTCGGTGCTACTTCTGTCGGAGTATTTCTCGGGAGGTTCGGTCGCCGGTCGTCAGCCGTGAGCCCCTAATTAATGCCTTGCGTATACGATACGTTCGTTCACTTAAAATTCTTGGGTTTGTTGACTTTGTTCAGTAATAGGGAAATTGCTTTCGATGCGCCTGTTCAATTGTTGCTGGATACGTTTCAATTAAATTGTCTCTTTGTTTAATTTTCTTAATTAAAATGCTAAGCTTGATTGTTTGAGTGCTCTGTCTTTATTTGTTCTTGACTGTTCATTACGTATTCTGGTACTGAGCTGCTGTTTTCTTTTTCGTACATTAAATGAATTTGTATTTAATTAATAATATTTATAGTATTGCTTCTATGTTTTGCAGAAGTTTACCTAAAGCTAGTTTGCGTAATATGCTGTCTGCTCAGAATGTTCCTGTACTTGTACAGTAAGTCCCGAGATGACCTACAATATATGTACAACAAAAACAAATATTCCGCAGGCTATTGGACCGCCAACCACTTACACACCTGAATCCGATAGACTCCGCGCAGATCACAAGTTAGTTTAGAAAATACCAGTAAACAAAGACGTTGTGTTGATATCTCCTTGTATCTCTACATTACACGTTTTAGTGTGTAATGTGCAGCTGCTAATGAAGTGGGCAGGCAATGCAGGGCGTGAGCCTCGATAAAGTCATTAGCATATTAGCCCTTAGTCAGGTCGTAGGAAAGTTCAGAACGACCTAAGTAATTGTAGAGAGAATTACAATAATAGTGGAAGGAAATAGGAAATACTATAATAATATTGTACTTTTACAAGTCAAGTGACTGTTTTTATTAAATAATTACAATTGAGATGTAATTTTGCTTGCATGATAGAAAGTTTGAAAGATACTACTTCACCTCTTAATCGGAGGAAACCTATTTGTGGAGAGATCCAGTTGTTGGGAGCTGTTGACATTTATAGATATCAAATTCAACAAATATAAGTGTCAATCAGGTCATTAATTACATGATTAGTAAGTATGTACGTAGTTACTCGATTAGTTTCAAGCATGGCTGGGAGCCATGCTCGATAACCGACACTAACTGACTCGAACCGACCAACCTGACGCGTTTTTGCATGAATAGTTGACATTAGTAAAGTTATGGAAGTAAAGTTTCTGTTCTCTACTCGCTACTGGGTGGTACAACATGAGTGTGACGTTGTAAGCACTCAGCGTCGTTTACAGCGGCCGCCGTGCGCTCCCAGAGTGTAGTAAATGCAGTTAGCCGGTAATAGACGCGGATATCGCGCGCTCCACTATTTATACTCGCTCCCGAGTAATTGCCGCCACTAATATTTACATGCGTCGGTTTATAGCGAACCGATTCCGCTGCAGTTCAGTTTGTTTGTAAACCAAGCTTTATACTCTGCCTGGTTACAGTTATACATACGATAACCCGTAAATTATTTTCTGAGATAATATTACCACACGTGACCATTTCGTGGTCATTATTGAATAGCAAAATCAATAACCAGCAACTTGCGTGCCTGCAGCTTGGTACCGTACCATTAGACTTCGTTGTACAATAATCTGATAAATGGATTCGTATTAGATTCCTGTCGAAACAACCACTTAAACCACTCAATTATGCGGCGACTAATGTTTCAAATACTTTGAATTAATTAACTTGACGCCGATGTTGGGATAATTTGGTGTTTGTTGTGTTATCGCGCGATCAGGCGGCGCACGTGCCCCGAGCCGGCCAGACCTCGCCGAGACTGACCACGTGCACCGTGCTCTAACTACTCTCACTACATTATCTCAGCGCTGACGAAAGTCGAAGTATGCAGGTGTGGCTATGAAACACAAAGTTCCCGATGGAAGCTAGGCAATGTGTGAACGCTACAACTAGAACATACATTACTGGACCGCATCAATCAAACGATGCGACGTACGTTCGCCTGCGAATGGATCGCCGTGATAAACGTCCTGGCAGTCGTCGCGGCGCCAATGTATGCGATGTTGGCGAGGCTGTGTACGACTGTACCAAACGTTATTCAATCCCAGGGGCGCATTTATCACGTACGGCTCTAAAACAAATCCTTTTGAGGCTCGTAAAACGCTCATAAAAATAAAAGCGAGTCGCCATCATGGTAACACATTGATAGGCGCGACACGACCACATCTGTTTGTTTTATTTTCCACGTTGATTGCTTGTTTGCGCAGCGCGGCCGGCTAACGACGCCTCTGTAACTACGCAATGGTTACAGATTAACTATTACCGAATTTGAGTTGTTGAGGCTCATTGTCATTTAGTGATGCTGAGGACGAGGCTTGCTTTATAAAATTAAATGTATCAAAATAATTATTTTGTGGTATTACAGCTCTACTGCTCTCATTTTCACTCGTGTACTTGGACAACAAAAAGCGCGCTATAACAAACATCCCCCTCCTCCCACCGGGCGGTAGCAAAGATTAGAGCTAAGCTTCCGTATCATTGTCTTAAATCTCTTAATAATGAAGATAGATGCGTGTTCACTTAATTTGTATTTAACGACGCAAACATTAGCATTTTACTAAACGCAATGTTTTACAATTTTAAACTTTATGCCAAACATTATTAGATTTCCTTCTTATGTAAACAGGAAAGAACTTAACCAGGATATTAGTAATAGTGGCTGTTATATTTATCTTGATGGTATAGAGACCAAAGACTGCAGACTGGTCTAGTGTTAAAGCATTCGCAGTATTCGTCACACATCCGCGGCACGCTGGCTACTTCATACTTGGCAGGGAGCGGCGGCCGGCGTCTGATTACCTGGCACGTGGCCTACTGTCAATACATCCCTGTAATCTGTTACTGTGCTGGAATAAGAGAGACTACTAAAGTTCCATGTTGCATCTGTTTGTTTTGTTTTACGAGGTACTTACTAGGCCGCTATCACACCTAATGGTGAACGATAACCTATTTACTTGAACCTTGAAAACACCCAGGTTTATACACTTCGGGGAACACAGACGCAAAGAACTCTAATTCTTTAAGGTTTTGATAAATAAAACTGGAGCCGAACCGTTTCGTGCATGTATTTGGGATATCAACAATGAAGATTGTTCTTGATATTTTGTTCTTGATAGTATTAACTTATACGTAGTAGTGAAAGTCAGCCAGTCCTTAACTTAAAGCATTTACCAAATATTGGCTCAAAATCCTTTTTTTTTTAAACACGGCTTTTATGAAATCCGCATTGCCTCGAGTGTCTATTCTGCAGAATAATTGGCTCGTATGTGGCGCCCCCTATCACCGTTCACAATGACCTCAAAATCACGCCCTTTAAAAAAGGGGTGCGTTCGGACGAACCCTTCTGTCAATAGCGATGTTTTTATTTTGATCGGTCCGCTGTGTGCCGTCCTGTTGTGACAATTGTTTGACTCGACTTCGGTTTTACGACTTTGTTTTGTATTTGCACACAAACTTTTCATTGTTTGTTTTGATTTGCCCATGGAATATGTTTGTTTTTGTTACACCTTAGTATGTGGGAATAGTCAAATTGCTGCCTTATTAACTATAGAAAGTCGTGGCAACAAATTAAAACCATAGTAAAGCTTACGACTTTAGATAAGAACAAGTACAACTAGCAGCACCTGCAACAATAAATGAGCCGCGACCAATCATTTAAATACCTCCACCTTGTCCATAATGTTATATTAGCCGTAGAATAATAACGTTTAACATCAAACAGTGTCCAGTGAAGCAGGGCGGCGCGCGCGCAGCTGGCCCGCGCACTGCTGCACACAGTCCGCACGCAACACATTTGCATGATAAAGCACAGCATGCTCTGTGTACATACATACGCCACACGCGGCGCCGCTCGCCGCTGGTTATTGTTGTACACGCATTTTTATTCCACATTCAATCGACTGGACAGTGGACACAGTGGGCACAGACCTCTTTGTGAATATTAACTTGTATTTAAATTCTTCATGTTTTCGTTTCGCCCACGATCGTAATTGCATCTCGATAAAATACTTTTTGCATCCATTAAAACTGATACGCGACTGCGGTGGGTCTATAAAGCGATTAAAGAAACTTTAATACAGGTTCCACAGCTTCTGTAATGAACATAAATAAACGAACGACCAGCTAACAGTTTAAGCACCAGCTCCGTATAAATAAGCAAACAGTTTACTTGGCTCCCTATTTATTTTACATTACAGGATACTTCGACGAGACGAATTCATTTTAAAAGAGTTCCCAGTAAACTAAGTCGAGTGATGGCAGCTCTGTTCAAATGAAGTGAACCAATCAGCTGATGGCACGCAAGTGGACCTCCATCAATCTAAACTTCTAACTCGAGCACCCCGCGAACGAGCTGCATATGATGGAGAACGCCATAGAATCGTAACAAACGCAGTATTAAACCCAAACTAACGACCGACGTCACGGTTACCAAATTACACAAAGTTTTGTCGAGATAGAATTTCAAGCAACGATCCCTATAATAAAGCACTGCAATACCCGGGAGTGTGCGTCCTTTTATGTGACTATTGTATGGGTGTACTGGTTCCAGTAGCCAACGATTCTGTAGTCGCAACGCTTTTGAAAGTCCAAGTTGAACAATTTACATATCAGTTGGTGCAGGCCTTTGTTGCGAGATATTCCGGATCTTAGCTTAAATCGCTATGCAAATACACCTTTTGGATAGAGATTAATAGTTTATTTAATCTGTGCTGACAGCCGGCGAGCGGGGCAGCGCGGGGCAGCTCGGGGCTTGGCGTAACGTTTGAGAAAATCCCTTTATTGTCTCAGCTGGAGACTGCGTCGCGTTGCGTGGTGCTTACTAATGTCGAGGCTAATATTTCCCACTTTTATATATATAGATACTTTTTGTTGTTATCCTAACAAAATAGTTTATCTATTCAGCGATACTACAGCCATTTGGCCAGATGGCATAACAATTTGATTTTTTTCTTTTGATCATTGTAATATGCGTTAAAAGTAAATGATTTCATTTTGTGTTCGTGAAGTTTAGTTAGTGCCCCAGCCGAGTGTGTTACATTAACATTGAAGAGTCCTGCATCAGTCGCGGCCGCGGCTCACCGTACCGAACCGGCATTAGTCACATTAGTCAGTCACACGAATGTTTTCAACGAGCCGTGTATTGTACTCGATGTGTTTCACGCTCTCGTCCCTCGCCGGGCCCTCTTGTACTGCTCCGCAAGTAATAAACCTTATTTTATGTTTCAATAACACAGCTCGCCTCGTTAACCACAAACACGCTTCGAATTCTATTTGTTACGCTTATTGTAAGGCCAACTCTTTTATATATTCAAGAAATATTTAAATTAAATTACATTCGAATAAACTTATTAGTATACTCAAAATGGAATAAACTCGTAAAAAATTGTTTCTACAACAGTTGAGCAAAGTTATTGAAGTTGTCTTTTTCGCGTTGAATCAAAGAAGGGGTAAGTTTCCACAGCTCCAGCGAGCATACCACTAAACCCTACTCTGACTAATGAACTCCTGCAGTGACTAATGAACCTTAATGACTAGTTAATTGTAAAGCAGTGGTTCAACAACTCGGCGCGGTATTTTATGGTCGCGCGAACTATGTGCGGCTGCCGGGAGCGGGCTGCGTACATTGTGCAGCGCCCGCCCGGGACCTTACACACTCACAGTAACGACTCCACCCAATACTTTGCTTGTGCTTCCGCACTTCTGAATAAGGGTTGTCCATAAACTACCCTAAGCAACGGAACTGCTGGATGAAATTGTTTGTACGGATGAATTAGTGTTAGTGATATGCATTGCCTTAGTTAGGCATGCTGTGGCGCGCTGTCCTCCTTGCATGACATTAGACGAGACATGTAACGCATCCCGCAGCTTTGAATAATGTAAATGTGCCATTAGGCGGCGTGCATTACCGCCCATTGTATAGCTCACAATGGCGACGACGCTTTACGTCGGATTTCGCTACTTGACGCCACTGGCCGCGTCGCATGAAACCGTGCCTGTCACTTTTTTATTGTGCCCTGGTGACATAGGAGGTCATAACCAGTATTAGCTTCAGCCCAAATGTATTAAATTACGCTGAGCGAGCACAATGGCCCACGAGTCGGATCAGCTTGACTTATTACAGTTACTAGCAAAATAAGTTTAGACCTAGTGCTACACTCATTTTATTTCGAATTTCGCTACAAGGACAACACGCAGCTGTAAAGTAGTTCCGTCCTGAGATTTAGTATTCTGAGTACTGACTATGCTGTACTATATCCAGCTCCACATATTGCATTCCTCTTCAATATCATCGCACGAGCATTACAGACGTACCTCTGTTGCAGTGATTTACGACGCGATGTCTTTTAAATAGTTCAGCTAATTTATTATCTGTTGTTTCATCGCTTTTGTTTGTGACGAGTTTTGTGATGTTTCGGAACACGAGTGTGTCACGTCCGTAAAATACTTCCATTGTTTACGCTTATTCACTAAACACATTATTCTGAAAACAACGAGTGGCTTTTTTGGGGAAATCATCAAATTATTTCTCCCGTCCAGGGTAGGGATGGAGGGAGTATAAGACTCTTCCTAGCTGAAAACTCCACCGTTCCTTCTCCTGCTCTGGGCAGAAACCGCGGTGCTTCATTGCGCTTGCCCCGCAACCCCGGATGTACATCAGCCCTAAAGAGCCCCGTCAGTGGTGGTCTATTGGCTTCTTAAGCTAATGAAACCCGAGCGATCGCCGCGCGCGGCACGCTACACGCCGAACGCTCGGGTCTGGTTCTGGTTCTGGTCGGTGGTCCGGGGATCGTCTCTTGATCCCCGACGTCCCACACTATGGCCTCGACTAAGACAACGAGATGCTGAACTTATTTTACTGGACAAAGTCGGTAAGCGTTCCTACTTACTTTATAACTTCTTGTTCTACTTACTTACTTGATAAAAACCGGAGCGGGTCTGCGCTTTGATAATGCCCAATATACCCATAATAATATAAGCATGCAGCTATGCAACTACACAATAGACTATTGATGCATAACGAGCACTATTCAACAACCGTGTCCCTCGCAGGATTGTCACAACTTACACAAAATATTACAATCAAAGCGATTGCTGCTCTATAGGTGTGCCATTATTCCGGTCCCCATTCAGAATAAATAGCTTTTTAATTCCAAACCCTTTTAATCTTCAAAGGATAAATAGTTTCGTTTGTGTTCGCAAATCGAAATCAAACACAACCCTCATTTTTCATCCCCAAATTTAATAGTGTTGTAATCTCGTCGCGCCGCGCGCCGCCCGCTCCCCGCCGCCCGCGGGGACAGACCTAGCATTAACGTGCTTAACTGTATGAACGTTAAAGTCCCCCCCCTCCCCCTATTGCTACTGGCTTATTCGAGAAACTTCATTATTCTGGTTATGGACTAAGCTGCAATGAACACTTAGTTATCTCAAGTCATTTGAACGCCTGCCCCATGCACTATTGTACACTGACTGATTGCTAGGAACCTACATACCAACAGGTGTCTCCTGTGGCACGCTCTGGTATTAGTTCCAGATTACATGTATCTAATGTTTTTTTATAATAATGATGGCTAAGTCATGTCCGGCTCCGCAAAGGCCCAACTACCACCACTGTTACATAAAATGTCGTGTAAAACATTGGCACGCGAGCGTCGCCTAATGTCGGTTTCATTTAGTTCGGTTCGCGACAGATGTTTGTTTTCAATACTTTTCCTTTTTGTTCTCGTTTGTTCGCACTTTCTTTATTAAGTTTGCTCCTATTGTAGCGACTGTTATTTCTTTAGCAGAATTCATCTCCTCGATAGCTAATAACATCTGCTTCATTTCGTGTCGGCCTTACTTTGTGTGGAATTGGTTTGTTTTCTATCGAGCCACGATATTTTCTGCTAAATCGTCTATCCAGATAGACCATTTATCGGATTTCTAAAAGAAGCAAGCAGGAATAATATAGAAAATATGATATAACTTGTAGTTATATAGCCTTAGCGACAGGAGACAGGCGTCGCCCCCGCTCAGGCAGTTTTCAAAGAAAATGTTGTAAAATTACAGCGCGTCATGGTAATAAACAAACAGAGCATTATCTGGAACAGTGTAGCAGGGACAGGCGCCCTCTAGCGGCAGGGATCCGCGGGCTACGTCGTGACAGATGCGGAACCATACCAACAGACAGGTCCATCAGAAAATCTATCTGTGTTGCCTTTGTACCGACCAACCGAAACAACTCAAAGTCACTCACTGTTTCTAATATACAGTCAGTTCATTGTAAACTATTCCATTTTCTCGATGTAACAGTTGCTGTGAAGTTCCCAGTAGTAGAGTCGTCCAGAATAACTCATCCGCGAAGTGGATCCTCTGGCCCTCACTGCATCGCTATACGGCACAGCGGGCCCGCGGGAACCCGCCACTTATCTGTTGAATTAAAATCTGCTTATCTGCGTTATTTATGCGCCCAGTTATGTATTCATAAACGTTATATATTGCATCTCGAGATCCTACTCCCGTACTGCACGGTATATCTGCTCGATAACTGACTTTTAACGATTTGCATTACATCCTATGAATGGAGAATGGTTACGCGATAAACAATATCTACGTGATGATTTCATCTCTCATAATATTATAATTATATATTTTTGTGATGAATGATTGTATTTCTCATTAAGGCTGTTAGTTAAAGAGTGATCGGATGCTGGTTTAGTTTACGTCATGTTAGAACTGTGACTTGCACAGAAATCGAATCGTCATCCCAAATGAACAGCATCCGAAAGTGTACAGCGATATAATTTATTAACAGGCTGGGCCGTTAATTGGATGGCTTATTAAGGCTGCGACATAGCCACGCTGACAGTTGCAAATAAACAATGACGTCAGCTAGCGACACTAAATGAGCTAATGATTGTGTGCAGCTCGCTACAACACCGAGTAAGGTCAATCACAGACCGGCGCGGCGCGGTATTTATACTGTTCATCACACGAATTGCTCTCGTTCGTGGAAAGTAACAAAGGGATTGTATGTTTACACATAACTGTCACCCCAATATAACGGGGAACATTATCTCTCAAACAAAAAGCGTCGGCCGAAAATAAACTTTAAAGGGGAAAAGATCGTAAAATTTCAATATCCGCCCGGCGCGCGGCATCTCGTTTAATCTTGGGTAAATTTGTCGCCTGTTATTGAGTTAGGAGATCTGTCGAGCGATCGTCGCCGAATGACTTGGCGTGATGATAACAATCGACAATTGAGACGTAATGAGTGGCGGGGGCGGGGGGTGCGGGGCGCGGGGGGCGCACCAAATGTAAATTGTTACGAGTTTGACGGAATGATGCCCTCACTACGCAGTCATTCCCTCGTTGTTGGAATTTTATAAGGTGCTTATGAATTACATTTTCAACATTTCTTTTTTGTCATCAGCTTTTTGTTGTCCTTATCGCTCAACAATTTGGTTCTACTGCGGAGTTCCATAGAATAATTTGTTTCGTATATATAAAAAAAAACTACGCGTCGAATTGAGAACCTCCTCCTTTTTTGAAGTCTGTTAAAAATAGTAGAATTTCATTTTATATTAAGATGATAGTTACTCGTAAAATATAAATTGACATTACAAATGAAAGAGCCAGCAGCAGCGCTACAAACCGTCAGATATTCCTGTCACTACTCGCCTCCTGTCAAAATGCTCGCACAGGAAATGAACCTGATAAAATAATGTCAAAAACGTGGCGCCTATGACAAGTGAGTTGCAACGGAAATTAAGGAGCCCTTATCGCGAACCCTAAATTAACCACTTCCAACAGGAAATGGAACCCCGGACACGGCGCTGACAATTAATTACGGGGCCGGTGGGGATTTAGCGTTTCGATAACTATGTTGATTTCAGGGTCAAAAGGTAAAACCTCCCGTGGCTACAGGGACTTAATGGGCTTTGGGCAACAGGGGGTTTAATATTGGAGAGTCGGTGTAGTATAGTGAACATGACGCTGTATGCGACATTAACAGAAATGAGAAATGATTAATTACTGGGTGAACCTTTATGAGCAGTCTGTGCTGTCTTCTCTATTTGATGAGCACTTGAAGCATTTGTCGAGACATAGTGACGGGCAAGTGATGCGCACATTGGACCCGCGCCCGCTCTATAAATACGGGGCTTACATCGAAGACCTCCGGCTTACAATGTCTGCTTAACTCGACGCAGATGAAGTAGCTCGTAAACCTGGCTTACACAGATATTACTAGTAACTAGCCGCGGGTACTCGTCGCTAGACTTTTGAAAGCGATTACTTTACAACATTGCAGTTGGATTACTGCATTAACTAGTCATTCCTTCGTAATTCAAAACTTTCAGTCACAATTAATGTTCAGAACGACATTTTATTACTCGCTTGTTTTTTAACCGACTTCAAAAAAGGAGGAGGTTCTCAAACCGATGCGTATTTTTTTATGTATGTATACCGATTACTCGAAGACGCCTGGACCGATTTGCTAAATTCTTTTTTTTACTTCTATAACGTAGTGTTACACAGTGACAGCAAGAGATGCTTTAAGATATTATACTTACTCACACTCATAATCTAGATACATAGACAATATCGAGAGTAGTAATAACAAAATTTAAGATGGTAGCAGTCTGTGCAAAATGTCATACTGTATAAAACATTGTATCATGTCGATTGTTACCTGTTGTAATTGCCTTGTAAAATAAAATAACAAAAAAATTAAATTATCGAATCATTAACACCTGTAGTATTCGATACTTCAAACGCACAACGTATACAACAAGTACGTAAAATAATGTACAGGTTACAATGTAACAAACAAACTCTTTCTGATAGAGCAACATAGAAGCGTGCCGGGACCAGCCGCTCTCCGCGTGCACGGCACCAGACGCCATTACTGCGAGTTGTTGTCTCAGCCAACACAATAGAATTTCAGCTTACGTTTCTAATTCCCGTAACGCTAAACTATCAAGCAAGTACTATCGTATTATTTGAGCACTTTCCACTTAACTAAATAGGATCCGCTGGAGGTTCGCAATCTCTTAAGGCGCTAACGTCTTGCTGATACAAGCGCGGCGCGAGCAAACACATTACTATGCATCCCTCTAACTCGGCCGTAATTTATTTACAGTATGCCAACATGGGGCTCCGCACACACCGCGTTATGGGATGGTTTATGGCTTTTGGGCAGAGAGTGAGAGTTGATGTCTTACTTCATTCCCGGCTCTGTGTGAGTGTCGGCTTAATTAGTTACTGCAAAGTTGAGTCTAATTACTTTTGTCAACCAAACTATTGTCGAAAGCTCTTGCAGCGAAATATTTTGCCGGGCACTCAATATTCAGTCCACGTCATGAAATTCAATTCAGAATATTAGATGTTCCAACGTTTATATGAAATGGCCTCGTTTAACTCTTGTTGAGTTATCTCTAGACAAAAGAAAATATTTAGTCTTCCTCAGGCAGGCTGGGCCTGAGCTGGGCGGGCCAGCCGCGCGTGTGTTTACTCTCGCGTACTCGGGCCGCATGCAAATTACTGCTCCCGTCTGTTTTCACTTACATCTAATTTGTGAGCGAAATGCGACGAATTAATATTAACGTCTGACTTGGATTCGCCCTTATCATGCCACGAACATACGACGCAGTAAATTTTCCAAAGAATTACTTTAGTAGTGCAAGTTATAGGTACGTGGTACTCGAACTCGTGTAACT